TTACCCACTGCCTTCATTTACTTATACATTTGCTCATTATCCATCATTCCCCACCTATCTATCCATGTGTTACACTCATCTATCCATCAAACACACATCTACCTGCTTCTTCATTACTCCATTCACACACATATGATGCAAACTTACATACATACAGGGTGGGGCAAGAGTAGGTTTACAGTTGTTTGTATGGAAAATAATACAATAATTAATAAGTAATCATACAAGAATAAACTCTGTTTCATCTACTCACAACTGTAAACCTACTTTTGTCCCATCCTGTATATACGTAGCCACTCATCAAGCCAGACATTCCATCTATTCCACCTACCAATCCTCCCATCATCCTTCCACTCACCTATCTGTCCACTTATCCACATTCACTTACTCCAACACTCATCTATCCACCTGTATATAGATACATACATAGATACATCCATTCATCCAGACATTCATCTACCCTCTACTCACCCACAAAGCCACCCATTCACAAATCATTCCATTACATCTGCCATGGATCCTTTTATGCTTTCTATTAATTCACCTACTCATCCAACCAGTTTACCAATGTACCCAATCACACTGATAACTCTGAAACCCAGACTTCCCATAGAGTAGAGTGGTCTTCTTCTAAGTTTCTCTTCCAATCTCATTCCACTTCTCAGTCATCAAGAGAAGACCACAGCAGTCCATGATCACAATAAGAAGGTCTGTGAGCTCACTCCCTAATTGTCTCCTCACTCATATAAAAATTCTTGCAACAGAGACTGTGGATCTTATGGCAGCCTATTAACATAAAGCCCTCTCTTAAAAATCTCCCCAATTATTGAAACTTTTACTCTTACAGTAACCAGTGCTCTCTTTGTTGAAGAACCACCAGCAAAGATTACCACCTCAGACCAGAAGGCAGAAATTTTGCTCATATTTGGACTCCTTCAGACCTCCTCCATCATTGGGCTGATATTTTTATGCGGGTACAATCTTCCATCAATTCACCCACCACTTAGCTCTCTGGCCATCCAGCCAACACCGAATGTGACTTGTCAATTTACACGTACAGCAGTTTCATATCTACTTCCCCCACCCCTGTTACAGGTTAAACAGCCTGGGAGCTCCACTTCAATGGACCTCAGCAAGGAGTTAAGAGAAGCTATTTCTCACTCAGGTGAGTGATTCGCAGTTGGAATGACTGGAGCAAAGCTATTCACAAAAAAATACACATCCAAGCAAACCAAGAGGGAAGAGGATAGAAATACAAATAAAATTTAAAGACTTTCTGGCAGAGTAATATGCAAAATAGAAATAAGGAAACTATAATCAAACCCAGAGTTTAAAAAGAAAGGAAGAGCCCTGGCCAGTTTCGTTCAGCCGTTAGAGTGTTTGCCCATGGACCAGAGAGACCCGGGTTCAGTTCCTACGAAGGGCATGTACCTCGGTTGCAGTTTGTCCCCAGCCCCAGTCGGGGTTGTATGAGTGGCAACCAGGTGATGTGACTCTCTCTTCCTCTTTCCCCTGTGTTCTATCTGAAGACAAATGCAAAAAAAAAACAAAACAAAAAACAGTCCTTGCGTGAGGATTAAAAAAGAAAGGGAGAAAGAAGAAGGAGGGAGAAGAAGAGAACATTGACAATAATGATAAGGAGTGAAAGGGGGAGAAAGAGAGATACTAGTGCCTGACAAGACAGTGAACTAGCCCTGTCTCTGGTTGTCTCCCCAAAAAACCAACAATAGAGAAACCACAAAAAAATGAGATGGGAGAACTAATATAAAAAACTATGACGAACCCTTGAGGAGACTAAAGCTGGGGTGAACTAAGGCCACGTTCGTAGCAGACTGAGGTGGAGGAGGCAGGTACAGAGGTGGGAAGAAAGGGCAATGGAGAGATTTTAACTTCTGTTCATTCTCCTCTCCCACCTATCCCAGGGAAGATGACTGGTGGCCTCTGCCACTGGAAGAAAGAAATCAGGCAAAAGCTTGGCTGCTCAGGAATGCCGAGTAATATCAGCCATGCTGAGCTGCGATTCTGATAAAAACACAGAGGCTGACCAGTTGCCCAGGCATCTACTTTTCCATCCAGTTCTCCTCCAATCCCTCAAGGATGGCAGAAGACCATTTCAAGGACAGTAGGTGATCTCATGAATGGTGGCTGTCCATTCGAAAAAATCTTTTCTTTAGTGCTGCTTTCTCCCCCAAAGAATTTAAAGAAGAATCCCAGACCAGAGCAATTTTTCTGGGAAACAAAAGCAAAAGGGATGTTGAATAGCAGTTCTGGAGTACCTGGGGCTCTCCATCCTGGGGCTCATCCCCACCCCTTCCTTCACAATCACCAGAAGGGACAAAAACAGACCTTCATTGTATCCCTTATACATTATCAGATTTGACAGCTAATAACAGCAAGGGAAATGAACTTACAAACCAAAATCAGTAGAGACCTGAGGAGCAAAACCACCATAAAATATATGGAATCAACAGAACGCAATGCACAGACAGATCAAGAGTGTAAAAGTAAGTATAACAGCCTTGGCTGGTTTGGCTCAGCGGTAGAGCATCAGCCCATGGACCAAGGAGTCTCAGGTTCGATTCCAGTCAAGGGCACTGTACCTCGGTTGCAATTCATCCCCGGTCCTGGCCAGGGTCGTTCAGGAGGCAACCAGTTGATGTGTTGCCATGCTCATGTTTCTCTCTCTCTCTCTCTCTCTCTCTCTCTCTCTCTCTCTCTCTCCCCCTCTCTCCCTCTCTCTCTCTCTCCCACTTTATCTGAAGATAGATGGTAAAGTGTATCCTTGGGTGAGGATTTTTTAAAAACGTAAAAAAATAAGTAAGTATAATATATATAAAACAGATATTGAAAGATTTAAAAGAGAATATTGATAAAATGAAGAAGGAACAAGAAGCAATAATATTATTATTATATTAATAAAAGAACCCGTGCTTCTTTAGATGGAAGGATAAGTAGTTCATCAGGATACCAAGGAAAACTAGGCACAGTTTTTAAAAAGACACTTGAAGATATTGAAAAGAAAACAAAGTTGTGAAGAAGTAGTGGACCTGGATCTTGGAGAAAATGGGAATCCAGAAAAATGTGCGGCACATTTGGATGACTTCCGCCCTGGGGGCATTTACTAGTTCTGGACAAGTCAGCTGAGCGCCTGAGCAGTGTTTTAGTCCATCTTAAGGAATGGGGTAAAAAGTTAGAGTCTAGGACTCAAGTTGGCATGAGTAAGTTTGGACTGCAAGCACACCTGCTCTTACAGTCCAGCCATAAATCATCTCAGTCTCTGAAACTGGATTTTAAAAAATACCAGTTTGCTAGAATTTCCTAGAGCCTGGCATAAACAAATGCAAGCCCCCCCCCCCCCTTTTCTTTATCCTCACTCGAGGACATTTTTTTTTTCCATTTTTTGTTCAGATAGAGTGGGAGGGAGAGAGAAAGAGAAACATCGATGTGAAAGGGACACATCGAGTGGCTGCCACCCACATGACCAACCAGGGCAGGGGACAAACTGCAACTGAGGTACGCGCCCTTAGCGGGAAAGGAACCCGGGTCTCTCTGGACCGCAGGCTGACGGTCTAACCACTGAGCCAAACCAGCCAGGGTGCAAACCCTTCTTATAAAAAGATAACACGTTCTCTAAGTTCTAGGTTTCAAATATGCAAAATTAAAACTACTGTGAGAAATCACTACAAATCCACGAGAATATCTAAAATGAAAAGACTTACAATATTAAATGTGGGCAAGGATGTGAAACACTCAAACTCTCATATTCCACTGGTGCTCAGTACAACTACTTTAGGAAGCTGGAAATATCTACTAAATCTAAAAATACACACACTGTATGATTTAGCAAACCCACACATAGTATATACCTATATTTAGTACATATATTCACCAACAAAACATATACAAGAATTTTTGTAGCAGCAATATCTATAATAATCAAGCATTGGAGACAACTGAAATGCCCCTCTACTATAGATGGATAAATAGACTCATATATTCACACAGTGGAACACTATACAGTAGTGAAAATGAACAGCCCTTTTTAAAAAAACAAACAAAATACTAGACCAAGTGGTGGCAGGACGGTAAGAGGCAGTTTTGTAAAACCTTCATTAATCAGACTACCAGGGAGTACTGCTGCTGCTTAGCATCTGCTCCTTGTTCTCAATGGCTCAGGACTATTCTGTGTGCCTTAATGAGTCAGGCAAATACAGAGGTGAATGGGAGGTTGAAGCCCTATCCTCTGGGAGCTTATTGTCCAGATACACCTAACTGTTAAGGCAAGAAGTAGTGTTGTCAGCCCGGCAGCCCCCGGGTCAGGAAACCCAGGGTACTGTCTAGCGATAGCCATGCTGACATTCAGGGCATCGTTGCCCTTTCTCTCCCATGGGGCAGCTGATTTAGGATAAAATGATCAGTAAGAGCAGTTGCTTTGAGGTAGGTGCGCCCATTACCGGTGCCTCCTCTCAGGCGGGCCAGGTCCGCGGGGACACCTATGGCCCCACAGAGGCGCCCAGAGGAGGGATCTGGGCCCAGAGAGTGGAGGGAGGGCCAGAGACCACACCGGGTGACAGTAGACCCCTCTGCATACACAGTCCACCGCACCCTGGCTCACTCTTTTCTTTTCCGCCCTCTCGGGTGGCTGCGCTGTGCATCGGTGTCCCGCAAGGGGGAGGAAGGGACAGGCATCTAGGTTGAAAGACCAGAAACAAATGTCCCCTGACAATTTCATGTCATTTTTCTGGATTCAAAGCAGGAGTAGAGTGGTGAAGACAGACGTGGAGGGGCAACGAGAGACGGTCCGATTCGAGGTCTGACGGAGGCATGGCGAGACAGTTCTCTGCCACCCGGGTGCGGACTCAGGGTGGGCGGACCGACGCCCCGCAACCCCGCAGAGCCGCGGGCCCCGCATGACATCAGAGGCTGGGGAGCGCACAGAGCGCAGGCGCCGGCGGAGGAGGGAGGCGGGAGGGGACCGAGTCGCGCGGCTCGGGAGAGCGCTCCTCCGCCCCGCGCGCTGCCCCTGCGCCCCTCTCCGCTCGCGCCTCACTGTCCGCGCCGCGCCTCGGGCAGCCAGAGCGCGCCCCTCGCACCGCAGCGAGCGCCGCCCGCGGCAGCCCAGCCCAGCCCAGCCTTCCTCCTCCTCCACCTCCTCCTCCTCCTCCTCCTTCTCCTCCGCCACCGCCGGACACGCAGCCGCAGGCTGGGGCCCGGACGCAGCTGGGGAGGCAGGGACGAGCGCAGCTAGCCCTTCCCCCTCCGGCTCCCGCACCGCCGGCCGCCTCCCCTCGCCCTCCTCCTCTCCCCTCCCTGCTCCTTCGCTTCTTCTCCTCCTCCTTTCCCGGACCCGGCTGCCAGCACCATGTCCGCAGGGGGAGATTTTGGGAACCCACTGAGAAAATTCAAGTTGGTGTTCCTGGGGGAGCAGAGCGGTAAGTACCCCGCTTAGTCTTCTTGGCTTGGTGCCGAGTCGTCCCCCGCCGCCAAATCATCCACCCCTTTGGGACACCCGGCCCCGGCTCGGAAAGGCCCCTCCAAGCTGGTGCAGAGGGGAGGGATGGGCATATGGAGGTCGGGGCCGGCTCGGGCGGGGCCGGGCAGGGGAGGGGCCAAGGATAGAGACCAAGAAAATGCTGGGGCCAGAGGTGGGGGTGACAGTGGGATCTGGGGCGGGGCGGGGGGGCTTGGGGTGCAGGTGCAGGTGCGGTGCGATGGGGCGGGAGGCCGGAGGGCGGCGGCTCGCTCGGCGGCGCTGGCCGAGGCGTGAAGGCGTCGGGCTCGCTGGCTTGCTCGCATTGCGGCAGCGGCTGCGGGCGGCCGGACAGGTGGCGGGGCGCTGGCGGGGGTCGGGAGGAGGACAGACGCTTCTCTTCGGGGAACAAGGTGGGTCAGGCGTTTGCCGCCTCCCACCCCAATGCACCGGAGGAGTTTCCTGCAGACGCTGCCCACAACCCTGCATAATTTCGGGCATCCAGGCCCTGGGGCAAAGGGCCTCCGGTAAAAGACCTACACCTGCTTCCTCTCCAAGGAGCGAGTCTGGGCCTTGGAGGAGCCTACTTTCCCTGGCTAATGTGCCCTGGCTACTCCCCTGGACACAGAAGGTTCTAGACCCGCTGCCCTTCACCGGCATGTATTAGCCTCTTTAGAGCTCCCGGGGTCTGGGCGATGACAGCGAAGATTCCACAATACGAAACAGGTTTTGGGGAATGGTACAGGGGTGCCTCGCACCAAGAGGCCGCGATGAAGCCTGGCGCTGGACAGAGAAAGGATCAGGCGACACGCCCTGCCTAGCTTCCCCGCACCCCTCCTCAGAGCAAGAGCGTTGCCAGCGGATTCTTCCCACCCCCACCTCCTAGCTCACCGCCCTTCTTGGGGGAGGGGAGGTCACCGTGGCAGCCGGCCAGGGGCGGGGAGAGGGGGAGAGATACGCTTCCCTGCTGCTAGCAGCCTCCCCTGGGAAAGCATCTTTGAAACCCAGGTTGGTCCCAAGGTGGGAAGACCAGATCGAAGAGCATGGACCCCTGTGACACCTGTAGGAAGGAGTGGTTCTGAGAACATCCTTCCAAAGGCCTCTCACCCTGGAGCCGCAGGCCCTGCCCAGCTCTGCTCAGGGAGAAGGCAGTCCCTGGGGGCAGGACTCCCAGGTCTAGCTCTACAGACCAGTCCAGTTCTCTGGGTTTGGTGCCTTTCTGTACAAAGGTCCAAGATGCAGGCATCCGTGGGAGAAACTGGTAGGCTCAGAGCACACTTACTGTGTGTGTACTTGTGGGTTGTGGAGGTCACATGGCAATCTCCTGTCTGCTGCTGCCCATTACCTGGGAGGGATGGTAAGGGGAAAAGGTATCAGAAGGTGGTCAGGCCCTAGCATGGGGATGGAGCATTTTAGAACAAGGTCAACTCAGTCAGCCAGCTAGCTGCGTGTCCTGGACTCTTGAGTTTCTAATCTTAATAGATTCCAGTTTCAGAGCTCACTTCCCACAACCCCCACACTCCCACCCCAGCAGCCCCCCAAGGGATTGCAGGGTCTTCACACCCCAGTGCTAGCTTTGCTGGGCCTGGAGCCCTGGGAGAGAACTCTGCAGGGATAAGACAGCCTGGGATTTGAGTTCCTAGCTTCAACCTCAAAAGCAGATTTTGAGACCTCACTGAACCTCAGTTTCTGTCTCTGTGAAATGATTACTTGAGGGCAATCCTCTTACTCCTTCATGTTTTCCTAGTTGCCTCTCAAAGGGCCTGGACCCTGGTAGGTTCTCAACAAACACTTGTTTATTCCAAGTCTGAACATGTTTTAGTAAAGGGTCAGGGCTTTGATGAGGAGAATGTCTCTGGTGAGTTCGAGCGAAAACTCAGGGCTCCCTCAGAATCCCTGATGGGGTGAGTCTCCTGATGAGTCCTACAAATCCCCTTTGCTCCTGAAATCACAGAAATTAGTGCTTAGGCCTCAGGAATGGAGCTCCCACCTCCCTGGCATGTTTAGGTGGGACATCTGAGCCCCAGGAAAGGGGAGGGCTTGCCCAAAGTCCCATTGCGAGTTGTTAACACTTTTGGGGCTGAAACCCACATCTCCTGTTCCCGGTCACTAACATGTCATTGGGAAATAAGATGATCTTGAATTTGGGAAGCCCAGGTTTGGAGAGCCTTCCTAAGAGAAGGTGAGGGTTCCCACTATCTGGTCAAGATTGGGGCTGGGTTGGGTGACCTGGTGGGAATGCAGGGCTAGTTGATTGGGGGTAGAGTTTGTGGGTCCTTGGAACATGATCATTAGGGATGTAAGGATCTGCCATCAGTGAGATTGGCTATTGACCACTCTGGCCCTTCCTAGCAGGGAGCCCTAGACTCTGAAAAGCCTCCTTTTACTTGGGTGTGTCATCACTGGATTACCCTAGATTTTACAGCGCTCCCAGGGACCCTGAGTTAGGCAGGGCCCATGTGCATCTCGGAGTCTGGGGGACTGGGCAAACTGCCACCGCAGCCACTGCTTCCATCTCACCTGCACACAGGTTTGCATGTGTTGGTCCTTTGTGCCAGCATCCTGTGCAGCCTCTGCAGTGGAGGGAGACCCTGAGCTCTGGCCCTCACCCCTACCCTGGCTCTCCTTCCCCACGTGACCTCATAGGTTCCCACACCCTCTGCACATAGGAGACTTGGGCTAGCTGAGCTTGACGGAGCTTTCTAGAACAGCTGGGCTTCTCTATATGAGCTGAGTCCACTGGAATGGGGCCACGGGAAGGGGCTGGAGGGATATGGCCTTCTCTTGTTTCCTGTGCCTGGCAAGTGAGTGAGGACAGCTGAGTTCCAAAAGGAGTACCCAGCCTGGAGCCTGGCGATGAGGAGAAACATCAGGCTTTCAAAGATGCCAGGGGCCTGGTTTGAGTGGAAAGCCCTTGCGGAGCCACTCAGGAGAGAACCCCTCCAGCCCACGAGAGAGCCTCCACTCCTGGCCCCAGAATGGCTGCTGTCCCCTGGACCACAGAATGTGGGCTGGCTGTCAGTGTCAGCCTGGCAGTGGGGAGGATTGTGGGGAGGGTGCTGTGGACCCAGGATGAGGGGTTTCCTTGAAGTAGGAAGTCTGTGTGATCCTGCTGGTACTTAGAGGGCTCCCTCGGCCTGCTGGTCATGCCCTGTGCTGCTGGCAGTGGTGGGGGATAGAGAGGGTGATGCTCACCAGTCCCTACGGGGCACTGGGTGGCAGCCAGAGAAGACAGGCACAAGCAGGTGTCTCAGGAAGGGGAGCGGGTCTGTGGGACACACATCTTCCTCCTGAGTTCTGAGGCATTCTGAGGGGGTGAGGTTCGTCTCGGTGTGTGTGGGGAGGAGGGATGTGGATGTGGATGTGGATGTATCGGCTGCGCTCTGGCCTCTTCTGTGCCTCCTTTCCCGAGACTCCTCCAGCTGAAGCAGGAAGATTGATGGACAAATTCAGGCCACTTTCCCAGGCTGAGGCCAGCAGGCCAGCTTCTCCCTCTGACCAGCCTCCCTGTCCTGCCCCTGTCCCCGTGCTGCCACAGGTGCTGTCCACGTGAGCAGTGTGAGCGGTGCCCTGCGGTTGCGCAGCACAGTGACCCTGTGTGCAGCCGCCCCTTAGTCCTTTAGTCATTTGTTCCCTCCCTCTCCCCCACACCACCCTCTCTCCCTTCCTCCTTCCATCATCCGTTTCTTTTTTAAATCAGATCTTTGAGTGTCTCTCTGCCTCATGGAACTTACAGTGCCCCAGGGAGCGTGGACATGTGTGGGTCTGATTACTGCAGAGGCCTGTGAGAGCCAGTGCCAGCTGCCCTGGGAGCACACGGCGGAGGAGGGGGTGCAGGGAGTGGGTCCTCCAGGGTCCACCCTCTCCAAGGAGCTTTGTTCTTCCTGCTCTGGAGAAAATGTGTGGGGTGGGGAAGCAGGAGGACAGGGTGACTCTCAGGTGTCTGGCTTGTTAATGCCCAGAAGAGGCTTTTCCTTCACTTTGTCCCAGTCCTCCAGGGTAAGGTGCACGTTCATTGGCCCACCACTGTCTGGAGGGCTCGCCCTCCCCAGCGCAGCCTGACCCCTGCCCTCCCACCACCCACACCACCCGAACCACACAAGGAAACTTTCTGGCCTGGGGGTTGTGCCTGAAGCCCACACCAGAGTTTTCTCCTCCCCCGACCGACTCCCAGACTGGCAGGCTCTGCTGTGCCCGGCTCCCTTGGGCACTCACAGTGTTTGTCTCCCCCCCACCCCCAGCATTTTTTAAAAACAATCACATGCTACTCTGTGACCCCTCTGTTTTCTCTGTTACTTGGGATGTTTTTTTTTTTTTTTATGTTTATTAACTTTTTTTCTAAGTAAAAATCCCTAACTAAATTTGAAGACCCTAAGGGCAAAGGTCAGGACCTTAGGAGGACTGGGGCTTAGTCACCATCCCCCCGGCCCCATCTTCAGGATGTTACTTATCTCAGTTGGGAAATGATGAGATTATCCTGCAGTGTGAGATTGGCTGTCAGCCCATCGACAGATTAAAAGTGAAGGGAGTCTCTTCATGCTAACACTTGCTGCTTTCACAAACCAGATTTTTACCAGCGACACTTAAGAATCTTTCACGGACAATTAGATCATTTAGTCTTGGTCATGCCCAGCTCACAGTTCATCTCTTTCTCAGGGCACCCCCAGCCCCACCACCATCTCTGAAGACCCGTGAGAAAGCAATAAGGTCACCAGAGGCGGGAAGGAAGGGACACATCCTAATCCGATGCCAGCAGAGCTCACCGTGCGGTCTGGGGTCATCCCCAAACGTCCGCGCCTCAGCCTCTTGGCCCTGCCTTCCCTCCTCACGAGTTCTCTCCCGGCCTCAGTGTCTGGGAGGAGAGAGGGAACTCTAGATGTCGAGGAAGATCCAGAAGCTTTGCTACCTTTGCTTCCTTTGCTTATAGAGGTATGTGAGGTGAGAGAGTCAGACACCAAGCTG